AACCAAACTTAAAACTACTGGTATAAATAAAATTCCGAGTTACAACTCAGAATTATACAAAATTCCGAGTTATAACTCGGAATTTTGTTATAACTCGGAATTATACAAAATTCCTAGTTACAACTCGGAATTATACAAAATTATAAGATTAATCGACTTACCTGTAGGGATGATTAATCTTAATTATTCGAGCGTCGTAGTCCTTCTATGATAGTTGATAGATACACTTTATTGTGGATCGCGCGCAATGATTTTAAAGCCAAAAAACTGCTATACGCTACCCACATCGGCCTGGCGATAAACCCATGTACATGGCTCAGTTTCATTTTTGGTAAACTGCACCAACTGCATCTGGGGCCTAGGGCAGGGTGGGCCCTATCATAGAAGGACTACGACGCTCGAATAATTAAGATTAATCATCCCTACAGGTAAGTCGATTAATCTTATAATTATTCATCGCGTCTTCGTCCTTCTATGATAGTTGATAGATGTTTAAAGAACCAAATTTGTGTACAGTTTACCAATAAGTCTATATTTGAGAGTGCAAAATGATGTTCTTTGTAGGTACCTGTAGGTACCTACTTGTATATACAAAATTTAAAAAATTTAGGGACAAAAATGTATAATTTTATTACATAATTTTATTATATAATTCTATTATGTTTTAGTAATTTAAGAAACACAATGATTATAAATATTATATGTAGTTTCTGTACTTTAATAATTTTATAACAAATTGGAAAACAAAATATTATTTTGATACATTAAATAATTATCCAAATAGAAATTATCTGGTAGTTATTTCTTTCTACACCTAAGAATACATCTTGCAAAATTAAATTTTTCCTGAATAGTTGGCCTATTATAAAGGGTATTAAAACTCTAGATTTTTTAGTCCAACCTGCAGTCTTTAATAATAAATCTATATTTAGGCCTGCTCGAAAACCGAACGATGTCGCCGCGTGCTTGACTGAATGACTACTAAATATCTGTGTTAATTCCACTTTTACCTAATATTTCTTTTATCAATCTGCTAAGAGTTTAAATTGAAGCTAGATGATAAGGTTTGTGGTAAGTATAAATTAATGAACCATCTGTTCTAAATCCTTTTGTAACCCTAATATAATGGTCTGTAAGAGATGCCACACGGAGGTTTGGATTTTCATTAAAAAATGGAAAGATAAGAACGGGTTGAGAACGGTTCAATCCAAATGTTTTTATTATTGATGATATTTTTATTTCTAACCTATCCTGAAATTGCAATATGTTTTTTTTTTAATTCAATCTTTGATAAAGTTTGCATACGATGGGCTAAGGTGAGAGCTAATAACAGTCAACTTATGGGTTTATTCTTTGAGGGGATAGTGATTCTAAAAGAATAATTTTTTTTTTAAATATAAGCCCCTTTCAAAAACCGTTTTATTATCTTTTCATCATTTGTTTCAAAATCAATAAGGTCAGGAACAGTTAAGTGTAAAATAAGATAAACCCTCATCTAGCATTTCCCGCAAAAACCCAAAATATTATCTAAAAAATAATTGTAGGGATTGTATTTCTTATTTAAACAAAAATTCCACCACTTCTTATACGCAGTTGCATACTGTTTTAATGATTTATGCTAACATTATGGGATTGGCAGTCCGGAATCTTTTTTTTGTTCTTACCGCCTCCCAGACAATTTTCCTGCCACCAGGAAAAGGGATCTGTGAAGCGGATGTGGATTCCTGAAAGGGGAAATCAGTAAATTTTTGTTTGCTTTAAAAATGAATGGTTTCTCTATTAATAGTTGAACAAATGTCGGATACCACGGTTGTGAAGGCCAATAGGACACAACACGAATAATTTTCTTTTATTTTCTAAAAATAGTTAGATCCTAACTCAAATTCAGTATTTTCAAATTTTGTTTTTGATAAAATATCTACTTTTGAATTTTTTAAAATATTGATGTAAGAAGCAAACTCATAAATGTTTCTAAACTTTCACCAAAGCTAAATATCCCGGGAAATTTTATTGAGTTTTCTATATTTTATACTTCCCATTTTATTTATACAGGCTACAGCAGTTATGTTATCAATGCGTAATAATATATTACAATTTTTAAAATTTGTAGTGAGAGACTGTAACCCATTAGGGGCTGCTGACAATTCCAATTAATTTATGTGTTCAGTTCTTTCTTCAACACTCCAAAATTACTTTTCCTCTAAATTATCTATGTGTGCTCCTTATCCTGATTTTGAAGAGTCTGAATAAATTTCTAGACAGTAAGATTCTTTAATAAAATTCCTACCAAATAAAGCTAAATTCTGAAGCCACCAACAAAATTCATTTTTTAAACTTGTGGGAATTTGCATCTTTTTATTAAAATCTTGTTTGTGTAGTTTTAGATTTCTTTGTTTTACTGTCTCAAAGGTTTTGTATAAAGCAAACTATATTTAAAGACAGGAGCCATTGATACTAATTTCCCAACAAGGGATGCATATTCTCCAATTCTACAAACCTCTCGATGTCTAAATTTTTCCAATACATTTCTGTAATTTCTATTTTTCTATTTGGTAATTTAATCTCCATTAAACTAGAATTAAATGTAAAACCTAGAAAAGCTTTCTCTTGTTGGTGTAGCAATATACTTTTCTTGTAATTTATTACAAAGCCTTAAAATTCTAACAAATCCCTGGTCATTTCTAAAAATTTTTTCCATTCGCTTTAATCTCTGCCTATAAACAATATGTAATCAAGGTATATAACTAATTTTACTCCACGTTCTCTTAAATATTTAACAACGGATTTTAATAATTTCGTAAATATATTATATGCTGCTATGTTTAAGCCAAAGGCAACACAATTAAATTGGTATAGAGTGTTTTGAAACATAAATCTAAAATATTTTTTTTATATATAATTGTTATCTATAGGAAAAGAAAATAGGCTTCTTTAAGGTTTAAGTTTGCAAAATATGAATTGTTTGATATTAAACTAGCCGCAGCTATGTAGTCTTCTGGTTTAAAATGGTTTGTAGGAATAAACTGTTTAATAATTTTAAATTTAGTATAAAACGAAAATGTCTTATCGAGTTTTTTAATTAGAAAATATGATGATAGAAATTGATCTATAAATTTGCATTTATCACCCTTTTTATTAACAATTTATGTATGTCCTGCTTAAAGTTTGGAATTTTCGCAGGAGGTATTCTAGGTATAAGATTACCTATATGTCTATTTTGTTTTAGTATCTGAGAAAATAGTAATATAATACCTCTCAGCCATTGAAAAGCATTTTTGTAGCCTGGTTTCAAAATATTTTAATCTTTCCGCTATTATATCTACCTTTATTTTCGGATTTTGGAGCGCCTCAACTTCCGATACTTTTGATAATGGTTGTAGTGTTCCCTGCCGTAACCCTGGTTTGCGGTTTTCCTTGAGTATTGGTTCTTTGCTGACGACTGATCCCTTTCTTTCGTTCTCTTTTTGTACTGTGAACGCTTGAAGTTTAAATGCTGAGTTCCTGAAGATTAGTGAAAAAATAATCATTTTTTGAAAAGGGAAATTTATTGACCAGATCTTTCCGATTTTCTTCGATACATCCTCTTTGAGGTAGTTGGATCACCGAATTACCAATTCTTCATGTAGTTCCGCTCCTATACTATTAATTGTCTTTGTATTTTCTCCGAGAAAATTGAGAACTGAATGATTTGTGTCTAAACTAGCAAAATCATAGTCTGAGGATGGATCTGAATCTATTAAATAAAACAAAACCCTTTATAATAAACAAACAATAATGTTCCTATTTGAATATTTTAATCAATTCAATTTTTTGCAGACAATAATCTGCAGGTTCCTGTTATCAAAACAACCACACCCTAATTAATTACGTGGCATTACTCTGCAGACAATAATCTGCGGGCTTCTGTGATCAAAACAACCACACCCTTAATTAATTTCGTGGCATTACTCTGCAGACAATAATCTGCGGGCTTCTTTGATCAAAACAACCACACCCTTAATTAATTTCTTGGCATTACTCTACAGACAATAATCTGCGGGCCTTTTGTAGTCAAAAAACTATACTTATGCCTCTATATTATACTTCTTTATCGGTTTTATAAAAAGAACGCAAGAAAGGTACAAAAAAATTATTATTTTTATAACAAACCTGCAGATTTTGTGCTTTCCGAGACAGAACTTCTTAATATTTTTTCCAAACGAACCATTTTCTTCTTTAATTCCTTAATATTTTCCAAAGCTTTTCTTTTTTCTTTTGATCTTGGTATTTTTAGACATAGGTAATCTTATACCTAGAATACCTCCTGCAAAAATTCCAAACTTTAAGCAGGACATACATAAATTGTTAATAAAAAGGGTGATAAATGCAAATTTATAGAAGATCAATTTCTATCATCATATTTTCTAATTAAAAAACTCGATAAGACATTTTCGTTTTATACTAAATTTAAAATTATTAAACAGTTTATTCCTACAAAACATTTTAAACTAGAAGACTACATAGCTGCGGCTAGTTTAATATCAAAAAATTCATATTTTGCAAAGTTAAACCTTAAAGAAGCCTATTTTCTTTTCCTATAGATAACAATTATATATATAAAAAAAATATTTTAGATTTATGTTTCAAAAACTCTATACCAATTTAATTGTGTTGCCTTTGGCTTAAACATAGCAGCATATAATATATTTACGAAATTATTAAATAATAAATTTATTTAAAAAATGGCCCTTCTACGCTTCCGTAAGTTCCGGTTTCCTTAACGTCTTTTAATACCTACAATACTATTAAAACTCCAAATAGTTCGCTGGAATTTCGTCCGACCTTACTCATTTACGATTGAACCCCACGGGGAGTCCACAACATTATTCTTTCAAAAACTTGTTGCACAAAAACCACTTGTGGCACTTCACTTTGAGACTCACTCCCACATTGGCGTGAGTTGCGCCGTATTTGCGGTAAGTATATAAGAGGCGCGGATCTATCGTCACCAAAACTTCGCGCTAAACTCCTAAACTCCGCGGAACACTGCATAGGAATAAAAGAAGTTTAAAGAGTTTCGTATTATATTTCTCATATTTTTTTGGTGTTAGTTTGGAAGTTGTGGTGTTGAGATTCGGGAGTTTTACTGCAATAATTGATAATAGTGAGTAATTTTTGATTATCGCAAAAAATGTATTTTTTAAGTAGAGTTTTGGAATATATTTATATTTTATTTTGTTTAAAAATAATTGAAAAAAATTTAGTTTTTCAAAAAATTTTTTGGTTTTGAACAAATAATTAGTTATTTTAAGTGATATTTTGAATAATATTTGGTTTAAATATAGTTTTCTACGGTTTTTTTTAATTTATTTTTGATTTCGGAATGTTTACTTTTATTAAATAGCTATATTTTTTTTACCTAAAATATTACACGCATTTGGTGTTCTTTTTTTGTTTGGTAAACTTTTTTATATAATATAATTAACAATTTTCGAGATATTTGTGGAAGAACAAATTTTGCCCAAATTAAGAAATGGCAAATATTTTGTATTTTTTACTTTTTTGTTTGAAATGTTGATTTACTCAATGATAGATGTAACTCATTATTATATTTCATTTATTTTTACGAGGTATTTTAAAATTCGGGCCCAACAACTTTTTATTTTGGACCCGATTTACCAATATACAATACTTATGCTTACTCTAAAAAAATCGTTTTCCTTTAACCAAAACGTTAAAACTACTAAATATTTTTTTAGCATTGCCTTGGTATAGTTAAAAGTTGTATATTTTGGAAATAGCAACAGATACACATTTCAGGACAATTTCGTGATGTTTTATTCTGTTTGAAACAATTTTATTCTAATTATTTTATGGTCTAGTTCTTTAGAAAACCTTTTTTGTACACACTTGCTTTCACAAAAATAAAAATCTGATGTTTGACACATGAGTTTCCTTTCTAGTTATTACAGGCTTTTTCCGGTTAATTTTTACAACCTATTGTAACACCTCTGTAAATGTTTAGAAGATAAACTAAATATATACATTTTCCACATACTTCTAAATCGAAACATTTTTTTTATACCGGGTATTCAAATTAAAGTGTTACAGCTAATTACCGCCTTTTATAAAAAAACGTTTCAGACGAAAGTTTTGTAGTTATGTGGGGAAAAATTTTTGACTTAAATCGTTTTTTATAGCTAATCATAATATGGACAACTTTTTTTTCGCCCACCAAAATTTTCAAGTAGCTGTTACTCAAAAAGTAAAAGTCCAATAAAAAAAATATTTTCTTCGAACGTTTCTTATTTTTTTATGTACTTTAAGAATACGTACAAAAAAAATGAGGTTCCAATTTAAAAAAAACAATGTCTTCCTCGATATGGCCATATTATGGTCAGCTATAAAAAAATGAATTTATCCAACATGTTTCCCCCAAAAAACTATAAAACATTTGTCTAAAACTCTTTTATCTAAAATGCATATTTTCGGCGGTATTATAATAATAATAATAATAATAATAATAATAATAATAATAATAATAATAATAATAATAATAAGTTTATTTCGAAAACCATGAATACAAAGTATATAATTATTTTACAATTTAGTAGAAATAAACAAGAAAGGGAACATTTTGTAATGCCTAACTACTATGATTTTCATAATAAAAGTAACTTTGCGAGCTTAGGAAAATCCTGTCTGCTGCTGCCGTTACTTATTAAGGCTATTTTGTTTTAAGAGTATAAATGTATAATTAGCGGTATACTGTAATACATCTTATTATATTTATATAATAAAACGAAAAAAAGAAAAAAAATTAAAATAAAAAAAAAAATACATAGGTATCAGATTTTGAAAATAAATTTAGTTGCAAACCCAGGTAAAATTGTCGAAAATGTTTTTTTTTTGCTTCTTTTTTTTATTTTTATCTATATATTTTTTTATTATAAATCTTTATAATTTATTATATAAATCAGGAAAAAATACATATATCAAATTTTGTAAAAACAAATAATTATTAGCTACAGACCCTGATAGAATAACAAACTTTTGTTTATTTATTTATTTTTTTTATTTATTTATTTATTTTTTTGTTTTTATTTATCTTTTATTTTTTGAAATTATTTATTTGAAGCAGTTACAATATATTGGGGGAGTTAATAATTAACCACGTGGTTAGCAGTTTTTTGAAATTAGTTTGACTTCTTTTTTCTTTTAACTCTTTGGGAATAGTGTTAAATAATTTTTGGCCAACTTGTCTATAACAATGATCGCCAATTTTTTTATACACTCTGGATATTTTTATACATGCTTGCGTTACGTGTCGTGTTTCATATATGTGTTCAACAGATGTATTAATTAACTTATACTTAATTAAGTGTAAAAGTGAACTATTATAAAATAATTTTCTAATTGTTAAAATGTTGTTTTCAATAAATAAGTTGTGCGTTCTGTAACGTATATTTAATTTAAACATAATTTTTAGAATTCTCTTCTGGACAACTTCTAATTTTTGCAATGTACTATTATATACTCCGCCCCATCCTATAATGCCATAAGATAATATAGATTCCACTAATGCGTAATACATTTTTCTGAGTATATGAAAATCAACAATTTTTGCCATTTGTCTGAACATAAACATTAAAGACCGTAACTTTTTTGTTAGGTTATCAATTTGAAAATCCCATTTTAAATTTGAATCTATAATTATGCCCAGATATTTGACTTTGTTACATTTTTGTATTTCCCACGTTTCATTTCGGTGCTGAATTTCAATACAAATTTTGTTTTCTGTTGGTAATCCTGACTTATAGTTTGAAAAAGGTAAAAATGTGGTTTTTTCCGGATTTATGGTTAATAAATTATTGTCGAACCAATGTGTTAGAGTTTGTAAATTAGTTTGAATACTTTTAAATACTTCAACCCAAGTTTCTTCTTCTACGAATAATACTGTATCATCCGCAAAAGATATTACGCTGCCTTTATAATTTAAATCAAATAGACTATTTATGTAGCAAATAAAAAGAATAGGACCGATCACAGTACCTTGAGGGATTCCATACGTAACTGTTTTTTCATTACTAATTGTATTATTAATTTGTACCCTTTGTTTTCTATCTTCTAAATAACTTGCCAATAAGGATAGTGATGGACCTCGGATGCCAACATTTTCGAGTCTTGACAAAAGCTTCTGATGACTTACAGTATCAAATGCTTTTGCCAAGTCGATAAAAACCCCGGCGCAAGGTTTGCTTTTATCTAGGCAGTTGTATATTTTATTTATCAAACACGAAATTGCGTCATTAGTGGATTTTCCACTTTGAAATCCAAATTACATGTTTGAAATAATTTTATGTTTTACAAAAAACTCGACTAAACGTATTTTAAGTATTTTTTCAAAAATTTTGCATATGTTAGAAATTAGGCTAATTGGCCTATAATTTTCAGGTGATTTCGGGTTACCTTTTTTATAAATTGGCTTAACTATGGTAATTTTAAAATGTTTAGGACATTCTCCTTTTATAAATATTAAATTGATTAAATGGACCATTGGTTTTGCAATTTCTTCAGAAATTTCTTGAAGTACTTTAATTGTGATTTTATCAAGTCCAGGTGATGAGTTTGTTTTTAATGATTTAATGATGTCTTTAATTTCGTTTTCGTTTGTAGGTTTTAAAAATATTGAGTCTTTGTTAGTCCAACCAGTTTTATTATTAGTTATCTCTATCTTATCCGTAATATTTTTTGCTAATTTTTCCCCTACTGATGAGAAATGCTTATTAAGTGACTCTGCTACACTTTTTGGGTCGCTGTGAATGATATTATCAAATTCGATTTCTTTTGGTTCTTGATTATTTTTTGTTTTTGTTTTATTATTATATTCATTAATAGTTTCCCATAGTTTTTTGCTATCTTCTGAAAACTGTTCGACTTTATTTTTATAGTATTGATCTTTTAATAATTTCGTTAGATTTGTTACCCTATTCCTATGATTTTTATATTCTCTAAAATCTTCCTCTAATTGGGAGTTTCTGTATATTTTATAAAGTTTATCTCTTTGTTTTATAGATTTTATTAGGCCCTGTGTAATCCACGGTTTTTTCTTTGAAAAATTTACAGCAACTTTTATTTTGCTATTTTCTACACAATTCATTAATGTTCTTGTTATATCGTCTGCTATATTATTTATATTTTCAGAATTATATATATTTTCAAAGTTTTGATTTTTAAAATTTGTTTTTAGCTTTTTGTAATCTATAATCTCTTTTGTTTCCAATTTTTTTTTACATCTGACTCTGTTTATAATGTCACATTCTAAAATCGTAGGATAGTGATCTGATAGCTTAGAGTATAGTACAATAGGTAAGATTTTTTTAACTTCCATGTAGTTAGTCTTTAAAAAAATATGATCGATACATGACTTTGAGTTTTTATGTACCCTAGTGTATTTGTTTATTAATGATTTAAATCCATTTTCATAAAAAATATTTTAATAATCGTCATGTTCATCATCTATTTTACTAAGTATGTCGATGTTTATGTCTCCTATAACTATCTCATTACTGCTTTTGGCTTTGGTATTTAGAAATGTTTCCAAGTCGCTAATAAATAATTTTGTATTAATTGAGTGTGGTCTGTATATAGCTGTAATTGAAGTTGTTTTATTTAAATGCTTAATCGTGATTCTAATACAATCAATTGACGCTATTTTAATAATTTCCGTATGAAATTTATAATCATTTTTTACGTAAACAAGAACCCCATCGTTTTGGTTAATAAGTCCTCCATTAAAAAATGCGGTATAGTTAGGTATATTTATTGACTGTATATTAGCAATATTCCAAGTTTCCGTTAAAATTATCAAATTATCAATCAAATTATATTTAACTGTAACACTTTAATTGTTAACAAAAATACTAAACAATTAAAATTTAACACTGTTTCTCCAATTTTTTAGTTTAACAATTTTCTTAAATCAGAATTTTGTACATTTTATGAAAGGACTTGATGTCCCCATCAAAAGTGTCCATGGGCCCAATCGTATCCTATGACTAGATTTTGAGATACAGGGTGTTGAAGTTAGAAATCCCTAGTTCTTTAAAATGGACACCATAAATCACCCTCAAATATTTTTAGAAGTTTTTTGCTCATTATGTG